CCGGTCTTGTCTGTGCCTTGTCTCCCTTCATTTGTCTCCCTCCATGTGTCTCCCTGAGTGGTGGTGTCCGCCTCTCCGGTCTTGTCTGTGCCTTGTCTCCCTTCATTTGTCTCCCATCATGTGTCTCCCTGAGTGGTGGTGTCCGCCTCTCCGGTCTTGTCTGTGCCTTGTCTCCCTTCATTTGTCTCCCTTCATGTGTCTCCCTGAGTGGTGGTGTCCGCCTCTCCGGTCTTGTCTGTGCCTTGTCTCCCTTCATTTGTCTCCCATCATGTGTCTCCTTGAGTGGTGGTGTCCGCCTCTCCGGTCTTGTCTGTGCCTTGTCTCCCTTCATTTGTCTCCCTGAGTGGTGGTGTCCGCCTCTCCGGCCTTGTCTGTGCCTTGTCTCCCTTCATGTGTCTCCCTGAGTGGTGGTGTCCGCCTCGCCGGTCTTGTCTGTGCCTTGTCTCCCTTCATGTGTCTCCCTAAGTGGTGGTGTCCGCCTCTCCGGTCTTGTCTGTGCCTTGTCTCCCTTCATTGTCATGTGTCTCCCTGAGTGGTGGTGTCCGCCTCTCCGGTCTTGTCTGTTCCTTGTCTCCCTTCATTTGTCTCCCTTCATGTGTCTCCCTGAGTGGTGGTGTCCGCCTCTCCGGTCTTGTCTGTGCCTTGTCTCCCTTCATTTGTCTCCCTTCATGTGTCTCGCTGAGTCCCTGAGTGGTGGTGTCCGCCTCGCCGGTCTTGTCTGTGCCTTGTCTCCCTTCATTTTACTCCCTTCATGTGTCTCCCTGAGTGGTGGTGTCCGCCTCTCCGGTCTTGTCTGTGCCTTGTCTCCCTTCATTTGTCTCCCTTCATGTGTCTCCCTGAGTGGTGGTGTCCGCCTCGCCGGTGTTGTCTGTGCCTTGTCTCCCTTCATTTGTCTCCCTTCATGTGTCTCCCTGAGTGGTGGTGTTCGCCTCGCCGCTCTTGTCTGTGCCTTGTCTCCCTTCATTTGTCTCCCTGAGTTGTGGTGTCCGCCTCTCCGGTCTTGTCTGTGCCTTGTCTCCCGTCATTTGTCTCCCTTCATGTGTCTCCCTGAGTGGTTGTGTCCGCCTCGCCGGTCTTGTCTGTCCCTTTTTCCTTCATTTGTCTCCGATCATGTGTCTCCCTGCGTGGTGGTGTCCGCCTCTCCGGTCTTGCCTGTGCCTTGTCTCCCTTCATTTGTCTCCCATCATGTGTCTCCCTGCGTGGTGGTGTCCGCCTCTCCGGTCTTGCCTGTGCCTTGTCTCCCTTCATTTGTCTCCCTTCATGTGTCTCCCTGAGTGGTGGTGTCCCCTCTCCGCTTGCTGTGCCTTGTCTCCCTTTCATTTGTCTCCCATCATGTGTCCTCCCTGAGTGGTTGGTGTCCGCCTCTCCGGTCTTGTCTTTGCCTTGTCTCCCTTCACTTTGTCTCCATTTCATGTGGGGTCCTCCCTGAGTGGTGGTGTCCGCCTCTCCGGTCTTGTCTGTGCCTTGTCTCCCTTCATTTGTCTCCCTTCACGTGTCTCCCTGAGTGGTCGTGTCCGCCTCTCCGGTCTTGTCTGTGCCTTGTCTCCCTTCATTTGTTTCCCTCCATGTGTCTCCCTGAGTGGTTGTGTCCGCCTCGCTGGTCTTGTCTGTGCCTTGTCTCCCTTCATTTGTCTCCCTTCATGTGTCTCCCTGAGTGGTGGTGTCCGCTTCGCCGGTCTTGTCTGTGCCTTTTCTCCCTTCATTTGTCTCCCATCATGTGTTTCCCTGAGTGGCGGTGTCCGCCTCTCCTGTCTTGTCTGTGCCTTGTCTCCCTGAGTGGTGGTGTCCGCCTCTCCGGTCTTGTCTGTGCTTTTCTTTTTCTCCCTTCATTTGTCTCCCATCATGTGTTTCCCTGAGTGGCGGTGTCCGCCTCTCCTGTCTTGTCTGTGCCTTGTCTCCCTGAGTGGTGGTGTCCGCCTCTCCGGTCTTGTCTGTGCCTTGTCTCCCTTCATTTGTCTCCCATCATGTGTCTCCCTGAGTGGTGGTGTCCGCCTTCCTTCATTTGTCTCCCTTCACATGTCTCCTTGAGTGGTGGTGTCCGCCTCTCCGGTCTTGTCTGTGCCTTGTCTCCCTTCATTTGTCTGTCTGCATATGTCTCCCTGAGTGGTGGTGTCCGCCTCTCCGGTCTTGTCTGTGCCTTGTCTCCCTTCATTTGTCTCCCTTCATGTGTTTCCCTGAGTGGCGGTGTCCGCCTCTCCGGTCTTGTCGGTTCCGCTTGTCTCTCATAGTCTACCCGTTTGTGTGCCTGTGTTTGGATGGTGTGACCCACTGTCTCCCATTGTCCTCCCTACATATGTGCCTGCGTTGGATTTCCGAGGTCTTGCCTCCGCTTGTCTCTCATTGTCTCCCCACAAGTGCGTCTGTCCTGGATGGTGTGTCCGCTTTCCCGAGGTCTTGTCTCGCATGGTCTTCCTTCTTGTGTCCCTCTGTTGGATGGTATGCCCGCTTTCCCGTCTTGTCTCCCCTTGTTTCCTATGTCTCCCACTGCCTCCAATTGTCTGTCATTGTCTCCCCACATGCGAGTCCGCCTTCCCAAGGTCTTGTCTCCCCTTGTGTCCCTTCTTGTTTCCCTTTGTTGGATGGTGCGTCTGCCCCCCTTGCTTTGGATTATCTCCCATTGTCTCCCTTTTTGTTTCCCTTTGTTGGATGGTGTGCCTTCCCGAGGACTTGTCCCCCTTGTTCCCCAGCTTGTCTCCCAGCTTGTCTCCCAGCTTGCCAGGTTGTCTTTCCTTCTTGTTCCCTTTGGTGTCCGCCTTCCAGCTTGTTTCCCTTCTTGTTTCCGTTTCTTGGATGGTGCGCGCGTCTTCCCGAGGCCTTGTCTCCCAGCTGGTCTCCCAGCTTGTCTCCCAGCTGGTCTTTGTTCTTGTTTCCGTTTGTTGGATGGTGCGTCCGCCTTCCCGAGGCTTTGTCTCTCCTTTCCTTAGCTTATCTCCCAGCTTGTCTCCCTTCTTGTTTCCCTTTGTTGGGTGGTGTGTCCGTCTTCCCCCTTGTCTCCCACTGTCTCCCTTCTTTTTTCCCTTTGTTGGATGGTTTGTCCGCCTTCCCGAGTCCTTGTCCCGTTTGTCTCCCAGCTTGTGTGCCAGTTTGTCTTCCTTTTTATTTCCCTTTGTTGGAGGGTGCGTCCACCTTCCTACGGTGTTGTCTCTTTTGTCTCCCAGCTTGTCTCCCAGCTTGTCTTCCAGCTTGTTTCCAGCTTGCCCCCCAGCTTGTCTCCCAGCTTGTCAACCCCTTGTTCCCCAGCTAAAATTATCGCACGCCGAGAATTGCGCAGACTCGAATGTTCACAGAGCTCCGGGATTGAAAATGATGTGTCATCTTCCACTTTCATCCTTCGATGTTTTCAACACATCCAATTTGACAGTCCTTTGCTGCTTGCTTCGAGCGTTTGGAACCAAATACTTGCACCCCCATCGGATGCTTCCTTCGTCGTTTTTCGGCATCTAGCGTTGCAACAAAGCAAGCGAAGCCGAACAAAATAAACGTATACAAAGTGGTCTGTGGCACTTTTTGCAGATATTGCAGATATTTTCATTAATCCTGTTGCTGCTATTTCATGTCTTTGACCTTGTTCCCCAAAACACTTCTCGAATTCACCCACTGTTTGGGGTCTACGGTGGTGTAATTTTAAATTTCTACGTTCAAGTAAGTAAAGTAAAGCCTGTGATGTCAGTTGTTAGAACGTACGTTGCCAAAGTCTCATATTTTTGCAGACGGAAACAAATCATGGGCCAGTCACAGTAAGTCCTTGGGCCGAAAATGTTTTCAGGTCAGTCAGGTCAAAATGGAATTTACGCGTAAAACGCGTAAACGCGGACACAAGACGCATGGCACGCAGTGCATTGACAAGAAATGGTCAGGCTTGAAACGGTATATCCCAAAGGAACTGTGTTCTAAGACGCCCAATAGACTGCTGAATGAAAAAATTGCCGAGTATGTGTACAGTTTTGTCTGGCAATCCAATACACTTGGAAAGCACCAACTCAAAGACTTAGGAAAGTTAGCGCACAAGACTTGGACTGCCTGAGGTGTTCTCCATGTCGCATGTCGCATGTCTACACGCTTGTTACGAAACATTCCAGTTTTTTGCGTTTAGGAATTGAATTTCATGATTGAACGCCTTGGAAATACGACTTAACACACACAAACCACTGTAAAACGCAGACGAAAATTAACTACTCAACAAATCGGCAGAACAATAAAACGCTGTGAGGGTCATGCGACACACAAAAAAGCAGCGAATGAAGAGGTGAAAAAACAGCAGGGCCGTTACAGGCGGCGTGACCTTGTTTTTACATTAAGATATTACATGTATACGTATATATATATACATACCATTGTGTCAACTGCAAAGGCCCAGTCTCTGCCATCCTTGGTTCGTTGGAGTTCTTCAGTGGCTTCAAGATTGTTTCTGAAGCAAGCTCTTTATATGGTGCCAGGTCACATGCAAGACGCCACTGCCTCTGCCATGAAGGTGAAGGGTGCCGCTTTTGCCTGGGAATGGATGGAGAAAACATAGGAAAGCTTTTCTCTTTGCCCATCAGCTAGATGTTGTTTGATGGATGGACAGTGGTCCTTTTTGGTTTGAAATAATTTGGAACAATGGCACATTGACCGACACTGAACGGTTTTCGTGCAACTCCAAAGAGGGGCGCATTGCAAAGGCTCATGGGCTGCCCCAGTCGCTGGTGCAATCTCTGAATCGGCTTTTGTACAGTGTTTCCGTGTTTCCCTTTTGTAGTATTTTGTAGACTTTGTTTCCCCGTACACTTAGTGTGTGAATTCCTGGAGGTCCGAGCGCGATTGACGATGCTACAGGAGCACCTCGAGGAACTGCAGGCAGTGTGTTTTGAGGATACAGGGAACACATTTCATAACGGTCCTCTTTGCGTGAGCTTTCTTTGCTGTAAGCAACTCATTTAAATCGATGCAGCCAAAAGCGAAGTGCCTGCTTTGCAAGTGCAGATTAAGTACGCTGAGACTGTCCTGGAAGATGTTCTGCTTTTCTCATAAATTCCTTGGCATTTTGGCAGTGTGTTCGGTTACTACCTATCTCGAGCTGATCAGTTTTACCGCGATTATCGCGTCCTTGTCAAAGGAAAGCAACAAGTCATCACACTGACAGACAGTTTTCTCGTCTAGGATCTGAACGATATTCAGAGATATACCAAACGACAATCTGCAGGATCATACAGAGTCCTGGTCAATGAGAAGGAACAGTTCCAATCGTTCAACAACTTCATAACACAACCTACAAAATCCTACAAAAATTTACAAAAATTAGATCTGGATTGAATGGAAAGATCGAACACTTACACTGTCGAGGTACATGTGCGCATACCTTGCCCGGTGATGGATTTAAACGTGAATCAGCTGATGTGTTCGGATATTCTTGCAGAACTGTTGACATTTGATATTGATTAACTCCTTGTTAGGATGTTAATTGACATTTGATGAAGGCAAGGTGTGGCTCTGAGTGCTTTGTGAGGCTTCGGAGACAGCGAGGCGCAGAAGATCCGGTTGGGGAGACGACAAAAAAATCAGGAGTCGTCCACGTGGCCACGGGACCCACAGAACCAGAAAGATATAAGACATATATAAGTTACATATATAGTAATTATATAGTTATATATAAGATATATAAGACATATAAGACAGTCAATGGCTTAAGGCTACTGGCCAGGCAGAGGCAGCCAGCTGCAGAGCATACTCCAACAAGTGGCGGCAACCAAAATTGATTCCAATAAACACAGGCACCAAGATGCATCCTAAGAAAGTGGAGATCGGCGTTTTAAAAAAAGTCATACTTCAAATCAGGAAAATTGAATCCAACTCACCAACATTTGCCTATGTTTGACTTACCAACGTCATTGAATACAAGGCAAGAGGACGAGCAGTACGCCCAACGCTGGATGTTGGAGGCCGTTTGGCTAAGTGACACGCTTTTGATGTCACAATTTCTTCGCAGAATCTGGGAGCATCCGCCTTTGCAATCCTTTTCTGCATCGAAGGTGGTCGCATGTGCGGCAGATAGCACCCCGCATGCCACTCTGCTGAATCTGGCTCTGGTGGACAATTGTGGTTAGAATTTGTTCGCTCTTTGAACTAATTGTCTGCCAGCGACTGTTTGCCTTTGAACTCCACCTGCAGCATGACAAGCTGACACCGAAAGAAATCCTGGTTTGCTACATCTTGAATTTACCCAGGTCTCTCGCAGGTCCTCAGCACATTCAAATTCCACCTGCAAGTGTATGTGAAGTCCGCACACCAACAGCACTCCGTTATGAAAATACATATGAAAGCAAGTGGGCCAAACAGCAACAGAACCTGGACACTGACTCGTCAACCCTGTTCCGACGTTGGTTTGGAATAGGAACATGAAACGTAGTAGCATACGCTTCTACGGACAACAACCTTTGTGCACACAAGAAAACACGGACAAATTGTGAAGTAGTCTGCAGGTTTCTGCCTTCGACAATGCAACATTCCCAAGACATGTTCCTTGGAAGCCGCAAACCCTAGAATTTTGATGGCTCATCTTTGCCGTTGGCAGTAAACATTGTCCAGTCACAAAAGGTGGCTTCAATACCTGAGTTTTCCGTGAGGTACACAGGAGGCACCCTTTTTGGATTAAGAATTGAATCTTCACTTTGTGTGGGATGTTTGCTGCTACGAATTTGTGCTTTCCTTGCCGCCATGCCTGGCTTCCTTTTTTGGGGGCGTTCTTTTGTATACATCATAGCCGTGGCCCTCCTCCTCCTTAATCATTGCTGCCAGTAGCAGTGATAATATTGCGGCGACGAGAACGACGGCGGCCAATAATAACGATAATAATATGATACTGATAAGAATGATCACCAAGCACAACAATGCTAATAATAAGGACAGTGATGATAATGATGGTTTTAGCAATGATCATCATTGTTATTCATAGAATGACAATGATAGTGGTAATATGAATAACGATTGCATAGTCATTCTCGTCATCCTGGACATCCTCATCACCCTCGTCGTCATCACCATCATCACCATCACCACCATCACCACCATCACCACCATCATAACCATTATCCTCACCATTGCCTTTGTATTTTGACTGAGTCTCATCCACAAGTACATGCCATGAATGTGGTACCTGCGTTCAAGAAAAAGTGTGATGAGTTGACCCCGGCAGAAACCAGCAAAACACGAACAAAAGCCATGTGCTTGGCACCAACGATGATACACCTGTCATTTTCACCCTGCTTGCCCTCAAGTGAAAACCTTGGAACCTGGAATTCGGTTGGCTTAATGATGCCCAAGAAGGTTTCCATCAAAAAGCTGGAGCTGAACAACCTTGAATCCATTGAGCTGTTTGGATTTTCTGGTACCACAGATGTTATTACTAGAGCCCTACGACCCTGCAAGCTGAAATGCGCCGAACAAAAGAGTCTCATGGAACCTCGGAACCCTACGAATTTGGCATCAGGTAACCCTGGAATTTGTTAGGTCATGTCCCAAGACCCCAAAACACGAGCCCACACTGGCTGAAGACCTGAAAGCATTTGGGGCAAAAGGATCTCTTTGGTCGGATCTCTCTCTTTCTTCACATCTTCAGGTCTCTTCTCTTGCGGTTAACAACACAGCTTGAACCTGTTTGCATGTCTTGTTGCTGAGTTTTGTCTTTGTATTTTCCGTGTCTCTTTAGCAATGGTTTCCCTCTTGTCTCGATGCATTTCATGATTTCAACTCCATTGTTGTACAAATGTGCCCTTGAAACTCTCTCAGCTCTGAGGCAGTCCTGCAGCCGTCTGCCTTTACTGGTAGTACTAAACCTAGCTGCTACAAGCTGAAGATGCACCCACTCCAAATGAAATCAATCGTCTCAGTGTATGTGGGCATTGAGCTTATTTATGTTTATATAATACGTAGCACCTGGACTGTGTTTGAACAACGAGAAATGAAAACAGTTCGTGGGCATCGCAGGTGTTGATTGTGCTTTGGTGGCCAAAAAGGAAAGTAGTATAAAGCAGTTGCAGCGATGCCAAATGAATTGTACTGCCGCTCAGAGCCTCCTGTTCAAACCCCCGAGGTACATACGATCATTTCCATCAGGAGTCGGGTAGCTCTTGGCTTAGGATGCTTGAGTGCAAAACTTGCCGATGGCTTCTCATGGACCTTCAGACATTCATAAACAGGTTTGTTCCTCGGATTTTTGTCTCTTCGCTCACTCATCCAGTTTTTGGTGTTTCATTCTTTTTCCCCAAACAGTTTACTGTTGGAGTCCTCAATTCTTTCTTGAGAGGCGTCCGGCTCTTTCCAGGTGGTGGTGTTCATTTGTCTCCCATGGCGGTGTCCGGCGCTCCGGATGTCTCCCAATTTCTTTCAGTCTGGCAATTCATTTGTCCTCCTTTGGCATGTATGCGCTGGGTTCCGGAACCTTGGAACCTTTTGTCTCCCACTATGTCTCCGCTGTCCCTCACAGTGTTTCCCACTTTGTCTTCCTTGTTCCAACCCGTGGCAGGGGCGGTATCATTACTTCACCCCCTTCCCCATGCATGTGCAGGGTTCCGGCAGGGTCCTGGGAACCTTGGAACCTAGTGGTCTTTGTCTTCCACATCTCCCGCAACTTCCAGTTATCGAAGGAAGTTTGGAAGTCTAACTTCCGACAATATGGACAGATGAAAAGCAGAGATGGGAAGAGTCAGAGAAGAGAAGAGAAGAGAAGAGAAGAGAAGAAGAAATAAGATCAAAAAAGAGAAAGTCTCAGAAGAAAGAAGATCCAGGCGCGCGAAAAGGTAGGAAAGTCGTGAAACACTGTGTTTTTCCAATGATTTGTGGCTCCGGAGGGTCGAAAAGTAGGCTCGCTAAAGCGGCGGGTGCGGAGCCAGCTGGCCAGATAAGAGATTAAAAATTGCACGCGCACATTTGCAAGTGAAAAAGCTAAAAGCACCTCACATTCGGAGCACTTTTGGGAGTTGAGATGCCGAAAAAGTGCACGCCGTTGTGGCGCGAAGCACATTTGCAAGTGAAAAAGCTAAAAACACCTTATGTTCGGAGGACTTTTGGAAGTTGAGATGTCGAAAAAGCGCACGGAGTTGTGGCGCGAAGCACATTTCGAAGTCAAAAGTGTAAAAAACTGACGGGCTCGGAGCACTTTTGGCCG